CTTTATACAAAGAATTGTCAAATCCAGCAGAGACTTGTTGTGGTCTGTTTCTTCTTCTACAGAAAATATAGGCTGCGATTCCTATACTGATGACTATGAGGATAATTGAGATAACTACCACTGCAGCTGTGCCATGTGTTGATAGAGGTGCCACTCCTTTCATCACTAAAATACCAGAGAGAAAAAAAGGCACTGAATGCAGTTATATTATGATAAAAATCTGACTTTAAAAAAAAGATTGAGAAAGAAGCCAGGAGATATTGCATCTTATCTAGTAGTGTAATAAAGGTAGAGTTAACAAGAATCAACTACCAATCCCAGGAATTTGTGAACGGTAGCTCAGTAAAAAAAAATAACTGTAATGCATGGGGTTTTTTCTCCCATTCATTACAGATCCCAAAGGAAATTGATATGTTGTCTTTTCATATAAATTGATGTTAGAAATGTGATTTCTTCCATAGCAAAACTAATTACAAATTACTATGGCTATCATTTATTGCTAATTCTTTATTTGGGAACTGAAAATAATCATAATTAACTGAAAATAATCATAAATATTCAGTCACACTAACTGAAAAAGGAAGACTTTCAAGTCTTGGCTTCATAAATATCATCCAAGTAATCTCAATTATGGCAAGGGAAATTATAAATACAATTTTGGACTTTGACAGTGTGAGAAACAAAAACCTTTAGAGATTTAATGAGATGTTATATTATCTTTTGCTGGCTTATTTTTTATCTTTTTCCCATCTCTCTTTCTCTCTTTCTATTCTGCAACAAAACATGTTAGAGAGCTGTCATTTTATTTTATTTTTTCTAATGTATAATGGTAATTGAATGATATACTATATCTATAGAAATATAGTGGCTTATGATTGACAGGCATGATATTTGCGAAGTAGCTGCCAAAATCTCAAAGTTGTCTAGAATAATATTATTTCTGATCCCTTCTGAGAAGAAAAGAAAAGAAAATGGAAATAGGTAGCCACCTCAAGTATCTTCATGGCTTCCATTCTATTAATATAGGAAAATTATGTAAAACAAAATTTAACCATTGTTATTTAACAATTTAGTAGAGATAAAGTAAGTCTTACCACAATGCTGAATTCATGCTGTTATCATCTAAATCTTTTAATCTACAAAAATGTATTCATCTATATTTGAGCTATGTATTAGAATTTTCAACTCACAACTTTGGAAAATGTATTACTGAACTTCAAAAATATCATTCTTACTTCTTTTAAAATTATTTTCTTACCTGATATTTTTGTAGCGTTTACAGCTGATTCTTCAATAACTAGAAAATAATCAAATATATTTTCAGTATGTAACTACTGTATATGTATTACTGCATACCACTAAGATAACAATGGAGAAGGATTTGCAAGGCAAATTTTTAAAAAATGAATTCTCTGAATCAGTAGCATATTTTTATAGTGAACCTTTATGATTATTGAAGAAAGAATTATACACCATGGGATAATGTCAGGGTTTTTCCCCAGAAATATTTGAGTTTCCATTAACAGTTGAAATTGCTTGATACGAATCTGAGTTCATGGAATATTCAATAGTTTAATGAAGCTTTCATGACTATTTAAAGCATCTTACAGATTAAAAATGAAACTAATGTTTTAGTCTATAGGTAGAATAGATAAAGAGAAATACAAAATGCCAGAATTACAGATACCAAGCAAGCCAAAGTCTCTTACTTTCAACATTTGCCTAAAATGTTATGAAATAAACTTTGGGTAGCATCATTCTTGGTTAGTGGTAATCATTTTATTAATTCTATGTCCTGTGAGCATTAATTTTATTAATGCTATAAAACAGGTGACATAATAATTAAGGGGCAGGAAATGATGCAAAAGAAATTTGTTCATTAAACTTTTATCAATTGCTAAAATTATAATTATCTATTTTAAAATATTACATTCAATCACTGGTAGCAGAAATTAATATATGTTTCAATTGATTCTACTTTCATTCCTACTATTTTATTTCAGATATATTATTTGAAACAAAAATTAAATAAGGAAAAAAATTATAAGATGAAAGAGAAAGAGGGAGGGAGGGGGAAGGAAGGAAGAAAGGAAAGAAAGTATGATATATTTTATAGTAGATAAATTCTAATTAATAGTCTAGAAAAGTAAGAAAAGATATAAGAAAAAATAATAAGAACAACAAAAGGTAATAACTATAGATCAAGAAGAAATCTCTTAAAATATGTCAGTTAGAAAAACCTGCTCATGAAGAAATTAGAAACAAAGTAAAACTGTTCAAATATCCTTGGATATGTTTAAAAAGTGAGCAAATAATGACGTAGTAAGAATAATTCCAAGGAGCACCATTTAGGCAGACAAAGAGAAACTGCAGAATTTTAGGGAAGCAATTTAATGCAGAGGTCCCCACCATTGGGCTATGGCCAACTACCGGGCCATGAGCCATTCAGAACCAAGCCACAGAAGTGTTGGATAAGCGTGTACACCCAAATGCAGCCCTGCTTGTGTAAGCGAATGTCAGGCAGAAAGGGAGTTATGTGCATGCACACACTTGCCTTCCACTCATACAGAACCAACTACTCTCTTTCCCTTCTGGCCAGTCTGCAAAGCCAGTAAGGTTGGGGAACTCTGACTTGATGTCTATTTAGTATGCAAATAATGTTTTCAATATAATATTATGGTAATGATAATTAATAAGGCTTACTTTTGTTTCTTTTACAAATATATGATCTTGATGCCCAAGAATCACAGTGGCTTTTGAACCATAGTCCAGATCTACTATTCACAAAAATGCAAATGTTACTTAAGGACTCTCCTCCATCATTTTGTCCGTGATCATTCGGTTTATTCCAGTTGACAAAAGCAATGTTACTATTATCTTGCCATATCAATTCTCCTAAAGTTAAAATAAATATATAGCATCATGATTAAAAAGGAAAAGAACTGCCCTGTGAAGAAAAGGTATATCCAATAGCTTCCCCCACCCCTAAAATTCCTGTAAACTCTGAAAAATTGGCCACCCATGGACACAGGGACATAAACAACATTTACGCACTGTGCAAAAAAGAGAATTGACAAGCCAAAAAGGTAACAAAAACACAAAAAACCTTCCCATCAGCAATCAATGCCTAGATGAGCATAGCTTAACACCAAGATTAATAGCAAGATTTACACCATACCAATAGTCAGGAAGTAAATAATACCCCTAAAAAGGAACTGCCAAATAAGCTAATAGTTAACACCCCAACCAAAACCCCTCAAGACCAGCCCCACCAATGCTGATAAGACAAGCCATTAGAAGATAAATTGAGAGCAAACCCCATCCTTACTAGCACTAATTATGTTACCTATTTGGGTAAAATGAAAGGTCTGCAAGAAAATAACCAAGTTTCCTCATTTCAATTCTGAACTACAGCCTCTGTCATGTTATTTCTGTTTCTGTCCAGAATGTCCAGAACTGGGCATTCTTTTCAGATCTCGTGGACTTAATTAGTGATATCAGATCATTATTTCTTTGTTTTACAAAGGGTAAATGAATTTCATCAGGTAATCCTGCAGCAGTTGACCCTGGTTGCTGAATCTGAGTCCTGTAGTCCATTTGTCATGAGATATCGAGGAACTTTACAATTAAATATGTAATGGTCCTTTTTTGTATAGGATGATGACTGATCTGATATGGATTTCTGTAAATCACATCTCACCATATTATTTATGGGAGACACACTCATCTCTGATGAGATCTATCTTGTATGATTGAACATCTGGTATACCTTTCATCTTCTCCAGAGTACACAAACCCCACAACTATGTCAAGGTAGTGTTTCACTGGGGGATTATTATTATTGTTATTATTATTATTAACTACATAGTTAAATATTAATTAAATAATTACCTTGCTGATTAGTGTATAAACCTATCCAAAACGCATCACTTCCAAGTATTTCCATTTCTTCCTTTAAAAAGTGTAATTCATCCGAGTCTTTAATTGAAGTTAAGGCACCACCTATGAAACATGAGATGATCAAAGAAGCTTGCCCTTTGAGTATAATGATACAGAAGTTAAACATGATAATTTAAGCAAACATTTTGCAAAAATAGTATTCCACACAATGTACAGAAAAACAAACTTCTGTTCTAAACCTTTAAAAATGTTTGAGAGGCCTCATTCCCAAAGAGAAAGAAAAAAAAAAGAAAATGATCAAGTCTTCCATAGTAGCTGATATTTCAAAATATTCTATATGTATAAGATGCTTTAAAAAGCTTTTCAGTATCATATATGCAGTCCTTCTTTAAAAAAAGACATTGAAATAAATTCATTCTTATAATCATGTATAATTTGGGGAGCACATGTGTCATTTTCTATAGAAAGAAAACAAAATTATAGCAAACAATAAAAGATAAGTACCCAGGCACACTCTATGTTTTAATGACCAAAGTATTTCTCTTGATTCACTCCCTGAAGGTGAACAGCAGTTGTTTGAAGCCTCATAAAAGCCTCCTGCTTTTATTTTTTGATTCATAGAATCAAAAAATAAAAGAGCTAGAATGAACCTTAGAAATCTCCAGGTCCAACCTCCTGCCCAAAGCAGAATCCTTATACCATTCTGGATAAATAAATGTATAATCTTTTCTCCTCCAGCAATGGAGCACCTAAATTTTGGGAGGCAAGATGTTCCAATAGTTAATTATTCTTGCTGCTATCCTTAACAAACTTACACTCATTGTTTCTGGTCCTAACTTTAGGTCCTTTGAAAAAAGTCGACCCCCTCATCTCTGAGACTGCCCAACAAGAACTGGAAAACAGCTATCATGTCATCCCTAATTTTTGTTTTTGTTGGGCTAGAATAGACATACCTATTTTCCTTAATTGTCCTCAAGGTTAATGTTAACATTTAAGGTTAAGGTTACATCAAGATATTCCTGAGCTCAGCTGAGTATATGAGAACATGCTCAGAAGATAATTTTACCAGGGCTGCTACTAAAATAAAGCTGCTGCCTCTTTGATTTCTGAACTGTCATGTGCAAATGTTTTCTAGGCATGACATATTGAAGACTCTTAAGCAACCATACCAAGAGTCAATTGACTACACCTGCTATGTGGCTTCAAGGAATGTATCCCTACCTTAAATAAATAATTTTCTAGTACCATGAAATTCAAAGTAAGTTTCTGTGGGTGAAATACAGAGTTTTTCATCCCACCAGAGAATTTTGCTCAGGGAAACCTTTCCTTTTATTAATTATTTTCAGCATATGTGAAAAATAGAAAGGTATTTATTTATCTTTGTACCCATTCCATATGGTATCTTCCTACATTCTCAGTCTGTTCTTTCAAGAGCTTTATATGGAATATAATATGATAAAAATTAGGGTTGCTGGCTGAATTTTGACACAGATTTGTTATTCAAATCATTGTAAATATAGACACTAGCAAGATTTCCCTATGTATGAAAAATTGCTGTTATTATTATGTAGCTCAAAATGATACTAACCTAACTGAGTACATTTCAAGGCTGCGTGTGGCCAAGATGTTCTATAAATAAAAAATTTGTAGCAATTATCCCCAAAAGGAATCCAAGATTCGTGTTTGTTTTTGGAAGTTTGGCATTTTCCTGCTGATTGTGGCCTCTCAGTTGGTACTATACCTGTTATCAAACAAATAGGTTTTTAATAGTTTCACTATTTAAAAAAATCCATTCTTAGTAACTATCCACTAAGAAAAATATTAGTAGTATTAATTAAAAGTTGTAACATTAATAAATAAGCAATAATTACAATGAAATAATGCAGTAAGGTATAACATAAATTTGTCATTTTCCAAATTACTAAGTCTATACTGTTTTTAAAAATTTAGCTTATCACTTTGTTCATACAGGGCGGGGCATAACCTTTTCCTAGGGGGTCACAGCAACACTTGTAATAACAACACAAATAATTCATACACCATTCGAAAGCCCATCAAAAACTGAGTTTATTGACACGATTTAATAGTCAGTATGACCACCATTAGCCCTTCGAACAGCATTCAAACGAGGTGGATAAGAACACAACAAATCTTCAAACAGTTCCGTTCGATTTTCCAGAGGGCGGGGCATAACCTTTTCCTAGGGGGTCACAGCAAGATTGACAGCAGTTTACAACTTCCGCGACACCTCATTTTAAAGCCCATAAAAAACTGAATTGAATGAGCTATTAAATGTTAAATTTGTTTCGGTTGAAACTTTGAGAATGAATTTGGAAACTGTGTTGAAAAATCTGGAAAATCGAACGGAACTGTTTGAAGATTTGTTGTGTTCTTATCCACCTCGTTTGAATGCTGTTCGAAGGGCTAATGGTGGTCATACTGACTATTAAATCGTGTCAATAAACTCAGTTTTTGATGGGCTTTCGAATGGTGTATGAATTATTTGTGTTGTTATTACAAGTGTTGCTGTGACCCCCTAGGAAAAGGTTATGCCCCATCCTGTACATGCCACTTTTTACTAATTTGTCACTAACTGAAATTAAAATGTAAACGCTATTAAAATAGACATATTAATTTACTTACCATTATATCTCTCACAAACAGAGGAGTGTTTTTCACTGTAATTTCCTGTTTTCCAATAACCATCAATATCTAAGTAGACAAAGGCTGTGTTATGCCTTGGTTCTTCAGCAGCCCAGTTAGTGTATGCTAGCCTCCTGTTACTTACCCATTTGTACCCAGAATCAATCTAAAACCAAAATGCATAAGGGAATAATTACAGGAAGTGCAAAGAAAAGTATTATTCATTTAATTTCAGTTAAAACTAGTCCTAAAATGATAACTGTAACTGGGACAGCAGTTTGACATTATTAAGCAAAGCACTTATTAGGTTAAAATCATGTGAAGTATTAGTACCACTTTATAAAGCCTTGATAAGATCACATTTGGAATATTGCATACAATTTTGGTTACCGCAATATAAAAAAAATGCTGAGGTTTTAGAAAGAGTGCAGATAAGAGTAACAAAGATGATTAGAGGGCTGGAGGCTAAAACATATGAAGAAGGTTTTCAGGAATTGAGTATGTCTTGTCCAGTGAAAAAAAGGACTAGCAGTAATATGATAGTAGTGTTCCAATATTTGAGCGCCTGCTGCAAAAAAGAGGGGGGATCAAGCTATTTGACAAAGCACCTGAAAGGACAAGAAATAATATATGGAGAGAAGCAACCTAGAAATAAGGAAAAAATTTCTGACAGTTAAAATAATTAATCAGTGGAACTTTCCTCTAGAGATTTTGGATGTTCCATTGCTGAAAGTTTTTAAGAAGAGCTGGAGAGCAATTTGTCTAAAATGGTACAGAGTCTCCTGTTAGAAGAAGGGTTGGACAAGAAGACTTTCCAACTCTGTTATTCTGTATCCATGTGAACACATCACTTAGCAGCAGCTGTTATGACAATCCTAGTTGTGGTCATTAGTGAGATTGCATCATTGTTAGGTAGCAACCTCATATTTTTCTTACACTGGCACACATACCTCTGCTTCTACTCCTCACACATACTTACCCCCGCCCACATTCTGCCATTTTGACTACCCTGCACACTCAACCATTGTGCCATTACCTACCCGTGCCCAGATCAGCTTCACAGAAGGCCAGCACCTGCCCCAGCCAGATGGACCTTGTCAGCAGCAGAATGAAGGAAAGGTCAGCTGGGATAATGAAGAGTGGCAGAGGTAGATGTGGGCAGGGATGCAGTCCAGGGACAAAAGGGCAGGGAGAGATACAGAGGCAGGGAGAAGTTGAAGCACTTTCTGTCATCTGAAAAGAGGTCAGGCTGCCAAGAACATGAATTTTGATTATGTGACTATGGGGATACTGCAATTGACATAACTTTGAGGACCAGGCATAACTACCATTGAGCACTATCATAACTTCAAATGGTTACTGAGTATACAATTTTAAATATAGGGTTTCATTGCGAACCATTCTGGGGTGCAATTTATTTTACTACCGGTTCACTCATGAACGTGTGCTTGCATGCTTGTG